TGTAGTTTTGCGCCTTTCCTGGAACTCACTCTGTAGTCCAGGCTGGCCTCGAACTCACAGAGATCCGCCTGCCTCTGCCTCCCGAGTGCTGGGATTAAAGGCATGCACCACCACCACCCGGCGACTTACTATATTTTTTATTCTATTTCTTTTTTAAGGACTTTATTATTTTAAACTATATTTTAATCTATGACTGTTTCTACCCTTTTTCTTTTCTCTCCCAAACCTATGTATGTTTTTAAACATATCATAACCCATTTAGAGTTTTTTTTGGCCTGAATCTGTCTTTATTGAGCATCTGTATTGTTTTTTGATCACATGAGATAAATCTTAAGCTATTACGTCTACTGCTATTTGTGTAGCTTAACTTAGTGCATCTCAGTAGTGTGTGCTGGCTGGCAGCTGGTTCCTCCCATAGGCAACTGCTAGGAGATGCTTCCTGGTACTGTGGCTGGCATGAAAGACATGAGACTAGGAAGACAGATTTGGCTTCGTTTTTGTGTGTTTACAACCTTCTTAAAGCTTTTTTAGGTTTTATGTGGATGTAGGTGCCAGATGTTTGGGCTCCATTAGCAGAGGAAGGTGGTTATAAATGCCAGCTAAGGCCATGTGACTAGTTGCAGAAACAAGGATTATAACTGACATGAGTATTTTCTGTCATATTTTGTTTACAATGTGTTTGCACAGATATTTGTGTTGTCTTTCCTCAATTTCTTTATTGTGTAATGTAAAATCAATTTAGAGAATATCAGTGGTTATAATATTTTAGTTTGAGATACTGAAAGAATGTCCCTTAAGGGACATTGCCACTTATTCTAAATTTATAATGCATTTGCAGTTGTATGAGGGGCAGTTATATCATGTAAGGCATAATTATAACTTAGTTATTGTTTTTATTTGGAAATTAAACATGGCATAAAGAGATATGATTGTGTATCAAATTGACAAGGAGCAGACTGTGGTGGATATTCTTGATTGTCAACTTGACTGCATCTGGAATTAACTAAAACTCAAATGACTGAGCATATCTGTGAGGGATGTTTTTCTTAGTTCAATGAAGGCCTATTTCTAATCTGTATCTTTTGGTGTGGGAGGATACATCCTTAATCCAGATTTTTTGAGGTGAGAAAATTCAACTTTTAATCTGGACCACAGCTTCTGCTGGCAACCTATATAAAGAACATTTAAGAAGGAAGCTCTCTCTGTCTCTCTGTCTCTTTCTCTGTCTCTGTCTCTCTCTGTCTGTCTGTCTGTTTGCTCTTGCTCTCACTAGCAAGTCCATTCCTTCTCTGGCATTACAGCCCACTTCTTTGGGATTTCAGAGTATACTGAAGACTAGCAAAGACATGCGGCCTTGTGAACTGAACATTCACTGGATTCTTGGACCTTCTGTTCATAGGCAGTTGTTATTAGATTAGCTGAACCCCCTTTATGTATACACATAAACATACATACTACATATAGACAGACAGACAGACAGACAAATAAATAGATCCATTCTATAAGTTTTATTCCTCGAGAGAACCCTGACTATTACAGTCTTCTACTTGGTGTGTGGAGGGGGGTTAGTTAAGTGGGCTCTAACTGGAGGAGGTAGGTGCCTGGCTTTCACATTCTTAGCTTGCCCCTAATCCTGTTATTTTCATATTTCCAGACTGATAATGCAATGTATCAGATTATATTCATATATATAGACTGTATTATCACCTTGAACTATAAGCTCAAATAAACACTTGTCTTAAGTTGATTCCAGTCCGGCATTTTATTGCAAGAAAAAGTGTGTGTGGCGAGGATTAATAGACTGTGGATATCAAGATGCAAGAGTACTTGATTCCGTTACAGAAAACACCACTTAATGTGCTCATCCTCTCCTGTGTGTCATATTGTCTCTGAATTACTTAGAACACCTAACACGGTGTAAGTGCCGTGCAGACCATCTTCTTGCTAAATTGTTTAGGGAATAGTGATGAGAACGGTCTGCACATGTGCAACACAGATGCCAATTTCCCTCTTGAGTATTTTAATCTGCAGTTAGTTGAATCCACAGATATTGAACTCATGGACACAGACTGACAACTGTATCAGTTACCAGTGATAAAAATCTGAAGTTGGAGTGAAAATTAGAATTATGAAAATCTATAACCACCACTCTAAACACAGTTGGTTCCCCTAGTGTAAGAGCTTTCCTAATAAAAAGCATGGTCATGTGAACAGTTGAGAGTTGAGTTTTGTTGTTGTTGTTGTTTTCTCCTTTTAAAATAGATGAATTGTTTGATCATTTTATACATGCCCTTCCTGAGTGTTTTTTCATATTTGCCCCTACTCTCTGTGACCCCTCCCAGCTCCAATCCTCACTCTCTCACTCCCCCAATGGTATATCCTCTTTTTTCTGTCGATAACCCATTGAGTCATTTTGTCCTGCCCTTATGTTCGTGGGTGTTGGGAAGTCCACTGGAGTGTGGGCAGCACCCTGAAAGAAAACCGACTCTCTTTCCCTTGCTTAAAGCCATCAATTGCCAGCAGCTCCTCACTTTCCTGGGACTGGGAACTCGTGAACCCTTCCCCGCTCTGTCAAGTGCAGTGTTTCCTGATCTTATAGAATAAAATGAATCTACATTTGGAAGCTATGTCTAATTCAGTGGACTGATGTCTTGCCAAATAGTCAATGTTTAATGTTACAATATCATGCAGGGGTAAAAAGACCCATTAAAACTGCAAGATGGGTTTTAATGTAACAGAGTACAAAAATATTAATATTGCACATTGTTACTACCACTTAGTGAGTTTTCATGTACTATCCATGAGGAACGTGCATAATTATCAAAGCTATTTTTAAAATAATCTTAATTTTTCCAACTATATAATCTCTATGAGACCATATAAAATGCAGCAGGTAAAGAACAGATATGAGAATTCAGGTTTTTTGTCCATGTGAACAATCACTATACTATAGAGATTTGCAAAAGTTCTGTTCCGGAGAATGAGATTTTTTTTTTTTCATAAACAAATCTAACATGCATATGGTTTTTATTTTTAAATGAATTGGTGATTCTAATTTATCAATTTAGTTTGTAAATGACAAATATCGATAGAGCCCAGACAAACAAAAGCTCTTTGGGAACTTCAAGCATTTAAAAAAAAGGTAAGGTGCCCTACAAACAAAAAGGTTTAAAAATTGCTGGCATATTTTTGTATTTACAGAGTATTTATGATGTTTATTATGTAAATCAAATGAACTGCATAACTGTGATGGATGAGAGACCACAAAGGGAATGGACTAACTTGTGGTCTTGGTTCTTTGTAGGAAGGGCTGGTGCCATAGCCAGCAAGGGCACAATGGTCAGAGACAGAGAGGATATGTGACTTTGAGTATATTAGTCTAACCTCAGTTTCTTCCCCATAAAATGATAGCCATCACATTACTTACCTCACAGTATCATTCAGAGGATCCCATGAGTACCAAAGAGCATGTGGGATAGCCTTGGCTCTTAGACTAACTGCCCTGTGTATCTACTATTTTTATTCTATTTTTTTTTTTTTTGGTTTTTCGAGACAGGGTTTCTCTGTGTAGCTTTGCGCCTTTCCTGGAACTCGCTTTGGAGACCAGGCTGGCCTCGAACTCACAAAGATCCGCCTGCCTCTGCCTCCCAAGTGCTGGGATTAAAGGCGTGCGCCACCACCGCCCGGCTTATTTTTATTCTAATAATAAATAAAGAGTCTGTGTCTGAGTGGACAAGGGAATGGCCCACATTATGACACACAGGTGCCGCTGACCTTGCCCCACTGTGGGAAGACTGAAGGCACGAGATGCGGCCACTAAGCCTCAGAGACGAAATACTTTGGAGCTGAGAAAAAAATCAGAATTCCATAACCTGCTTCTTACCCTAACATCACACTTTCTCATCCAGAATCACATCTGTTACCCCGGTGAGGAACCTGGATGCGCTCCAAGGTTTCAGAACAAACGATGTGAGGTTGGCGTGGATTCATATGCAGGGTCCCAAGCAGTTAGAATTTTTCTTGTTCCCGAAATGTGATTAATTCTCCCTGCAGCTCAGTTTGGATGCCAGAGGATCATTCAGAATGAGGCTGATTTCAGCAAACATCCACACAGTCACCTTCACTGCCAGGAAGACAAATGCTTCTAAGAAAAGAATGTTCTAACTTTTTTATGATGAGAAAGGTTTTGGAGTGGGGGGTGGAGAGAGAATCCCTGGGTCAATCCTGGGCCTCACACGTGCTACAAAATTGCTGTAGCAACTGATCTACATCTGCAGCCCAGGAAATCCTCTCTGGAGAGCCATAGGGATACTTAAGTATTTGTGGAATGACTTTTTAGGATGCTAAAGCAGAACCTGATTCTGAACCTAAGGAGCATACATGAAGTTTGAAGTTACACTTGTCAGTGAGACAAGCAGTAAATAAAATATCACATCCCATGTGGCCTCGCTCCTACGTTTTCCTGCTACCCTGTAACAAGTACGATGAATTTTACTCTAATTGTTACTAAGGTTTCTGAGCATGCTGGATTTCAATGATAAAAAAACTTCATTGAATTTGAATGTTACTTTCTCTCTGGGATGTGCCTAGTGCACTATTTAATATTAATTTCCCAGGGTCCTCTCTTCCTGTTTCATTTTTGTTTTGCAACACATTTCTCCATCCAACACACTCTGTTTTTTACATGGGAATTTTGTTCACAGTCTGTCTGCTTCGCCATGACAGTAGACTTCCACCCTTTTCCTTGTGTGTTGTGTTCCTAACTTCTAAGATGGGCCTGGCGTGTGATGAAGATACCCCACTTCTATCTTCTGACTCTAAGTTGGGGATGGACAATGTCTCTGTGATACATGGCATATCACGAGTTCATGCAAATGTGATGTCTTCAAAAGTGCCTACATTATCAATACCGCCCATACTTCTTGGAAGGAATCGAGTTCATGGAACTTTGATATTATATTATCATACAGACGGCTGTTGTTGCTCGTTGTTGTTGGCAGGAAAGAGCCAGGAGCTGCTTACGATACCTGGTGAGCCAGCTGGCTAACATGGAGCACTCATTTCACCATATTCTCCTGCTGGAAATCAAGAGCATCACTGATGCCTTCTCCTCCATCCTGGGCCCTCACAGCAGGGACATCTTCCGAATGAGCAACAGCTTCACCAACATTGCCAAGCTGCTTTCCCGGCGACTGGAAAGCGGCACGGCTGGGAATGGCAGGTATCTATAGAGACCAATATAGCCAAAGTCTGGAGGAAATGCAGACTATGATAAAGAAATAGAATGAAGCACAAGTGGCAAAGCCAGGTAGCTCTCATTTATTGACTCAATAAGCATTTGATACTTGTTTATTCTGAACCAGGAATCTAAGCAGAGAGAGAGAGGTCCAGTAGGTTGGATAGTTAAATAATCAGAGAATAAAATTAGAGGCTAGAGGAAGAATATACTAATAAAGATGGGTTCAAAGAATTTGAAGAACAATGAGATGGTGGAGTCTACCTGTGTATGGAAGAAGGAGGGGTAAAATTGGGATCAAGAAACATCTCCTAGAGTAAGAGACATTTTGGACCAAGTCTTAGGAGATAACCAGATTGCTCCAGTCTGTCTTTTTGGTGACATGTTTGTCTTTCTGGAAATGGGCATCATTTTGCATAAGTGGAGTATGTGCTTCAAGAAGAGCAGCACTTGGAATGATGATGAAGTGGAGGCAGGGATGAGACATGGTGGGCTTGGTACACCTTTCTAAGAAGTTCCCATTTTATCCTGTAGGAATCACTGTGAGATTGGTGCATGGTGGGGTGAAGTCAGAACCCATTTCAAGGTCTCTCTAGCCTCAGTACAGAGACTGTCCCGGCAAGAAGATGACAAAGCCAGATCAAGCTAGGGAAAGACAGTATACATCAATGGACTGTCATAAGGAAACTATGGGTGATGGTAGTGAATGAGCTGCCACAACTTGGCTGAGTTGGAAAGAGGGCCATTGTAACTGAAGAGTGGGAGTGAATTCAGTGCACCCAGCTAGCCCTTTCTATTCTTGTGGGGGCTATCTTATGCATTATAAAGTATTTATCAGAAGTCCAAGTGTCTACTTACCAGGTACTAGCACCAGTCTCCTGTAGATGTAACCAACGGTCTTATTAAATAAGAAACACAGAGCCGATTCAGAGAAGAAAGCCAAGAGGTCAGAGCTAAGAGCCTCACCCTTCCTGATTCAGGGATCCTCTTCAGCCAAGAGAACTCTCCGAAAAAAGGGACCTACTTCCTGTGTGTATGTCTTTATATACTCTAGCTGTTCTGCCTTCTCATTGGTTGTAAACCCAAACATGTGACTGCCTCGTCACTGCCTGAATGTACCACCCTCCAGGTCCTTAAAGGCATGCGCCACCACCGCCACGCACTTGCTATGGCTCTAATAGCTCTGACCCCCAGACAACTTTATTTATTAACATACAATTAAAATCACATTTCAGTACAAGTAAAATACCACCACAGTCTCCTCTCTTGGTTGTGACTGTGAACTTATCTGTGGCATTTCTAAATGTCCTTAGGAGATAAAAAGTGCCCCAAATGAGAACCACTGCTATATACATATACCATTCAAAAACAGCACACCCTTGACTTATGTAGCAATAGCTTTATCATAGTAGCATCCAGTGATGTATATGAAACTCCAAAGCCACTGTCAAATAAGTTTATGATATAGTTTCAGAAATGTGCCATGGAGTCTCTGCACCTGGTATTGAGGAAAGTTTTTATACTCTGTGCACAGCCAACCTACTTGTGACCTCTTCCAGCCATTATGGTCACACTTGCCAGAAGAAAAGCTCATGCACAGGCCCTGGCCAGTGGACATGTTGCCAACAAACATCATTGAGCTTGTGTGTGTGAAAGCTTCCTATAAAGTGGGGAAAAGTTACAAGGCTGTGGTGCTCAATAATTTAACAGTATAATTAATCTTTGATAAATAACCTCAGTCCTATTAGCAATAATACTCCCTTTACTGTTTTGTTTTTCCTGAGGTAAAAAAGAAAAAGAGAAGGAAGTATAGGAAGTGAGGGGGAGGAAGGGAAAGAGAGAAGGAAAGAAGGGAAGGAAGGAAGAAGGGACAGTAGGGAGGGAGGGAGGCATGGGGATGTAGCTCAGTAGAGCTTTGCCTTGCATGTGAAGTCCTGGTTTCACTCTCCAGCACTGAAAAAGATAAATAAAAAGTCAGCCTTCATCCCACATATGTCCACCACCTCAGCCTCTCTCAATTCAAAATATTTCTCCCTGTTCAACCCTTGCTGTCAATCTCCTTCTAACAGATTGTAATTATTCAGTGGGAACCTCAGAAGTGTGGTGTGGACAGCTAGCCTTTTGTGTCCAAAGCTCATCCTCTCTGGGGCGGTTGCTAAGGCTTCTCTCCCAGCATGTTTTCCCTGAATAGTCTTCCTTGGGACCATGTGATTCCACCCATTTGAGTCCATGCCCCCAAAGCAGAAAGGTCTATACTTTTGTATAAGGCAAAGACAAAAACCTGATTCTTACAATTAAAGAGAAAATGAACGAGGGAAGCGATCCTGAAAGAAAATTAAAGATGATAAAAACTCAAAGCAGATGTCAGCTAATTTACAAATGGGACACACAGCTCAGCAGGCCAGATTTTAGACTTCAGGCCAAAACAACAAGACTATCAAAAGAAAAACAATTAGCATCCCAGAGAGAATGAAAAAAACCAAAGCAGATGAGCCTTCCTCTTGCCAGAAAGATTCTGAATAAATTGGGTGAGTTTGTAAAGGGCAGCAGGTGAGCCGTTTGCATTTTCCCCATTTCCTCTGTCTCTAGAATGTGTTTGTATTTAAATAAAAGCCAAGGAAGCCTAAATGACAGAACCAAGCAGAGCATTTAAATTTTGAAATCAATTCTGGAGAAACAAAAAAAAGAGGCAACTCTCCATTGACAAGGTGACTAAGGAGTTAGGAAAAGAGACCTATACTTTTGCAAATGGCATGCCCTTTGTGGCCTTCGGGGCAGCCCTTAACCATTGGGTGGCTTGCCTGTCAGACCCTGTCAAAACTGGGGAAGGAGAGAGTGTGTTCTTGGTGAATGTGTGACTAGCTGAGCAGTTCCCCAGCAATCATTGTGTTCAGTGACCATTTCAGTAGATAACAGCTTCTCAAGCTTTTTCCACTTGAAACTTCTTTATAGACAAGAAGTTTCTGTGACCCTGTGTGTGTGTGTATTTATATATGCATGCATACAAATGAATATACAAATCAAACAATGATAATAAATCACAAAAAATTTATAAGACAAATCTTTATTTACATATATATAATTTTATCGTTTATTGGCAATTAAAGCAGATTTGCATACTAATGAGAGAGGTGGCCTTGTTTATTTTTACAGAAAGAATTAAATTTTGGCTGAATATTTAATGCTGCCAGGCATAGAACATCTCTAATGTTTTCTAGAGTTGATCATTATTTTCAATTTATAATTATCAATGCTGAGACGCCACTTCACATGAACACATAGTACAGAAAGACAGAAGTGCATATAGGTCCATTTCAGATACGGAAATTCTGTCCAAATACCAAATCAGGATGTATTGTTTTTTATGAAACTCACTGGATTTTCAAATAGGAATTTCTAAACTAAACATGCCAACACGATGCAATCCAAAGATAGTACTTTGATAGTCGTGTGCTGAGAGATGACAGTAGGAAGATACTGAATGTCTCTGTTTCCATAATTAAGCTATCATGTTTATATAAGAACAGAAAACTTTTGCACACAGAATAAAAACATACCAGAGTCTTGACCCTGAGTTGAGACGTTTCAAGCAGCATTTGCTGGTGGCAAGTGGTGTGACGAATGCACAGTGCAAGTGCATGTGTTGTATGTTCAAAATCAAGGCTCCCGTGAAGTTGTGCATGCAGCCTTGATAAGCATTGCCAGAAGCACCTCAGAGTTGTTACATGTCTGATTTTTTTTTTAAAGATTTATTTATTATGTATATAGTATTCTGCCTGCATATATGACTGCAGGCCAGAAGAGGGCACCAGATCTCATTACGGATGGTTGTTAGCCACCATGTGGTTGCTGGGAATTGAACTCAGGACCTCTGGAAGAGCAGCCAGTGCTCTTAACCACTGATCCATCTCTCCAGCCCCACATGTCTGATTTTAAATTGATATTTTGCCATCATACCTTCACAAAACTTTTGCTGTTGCCAGTTGTTTCTCCCAACCCTCCCATTCAGTTTAAGAAATCATAGCCGGGCGGTGGTGGCACATGCCTTTAATCCCAGCACTCGGGAGGCAGAGCCAGGCGGATCTCTGTGAGTTCGAGGCCAGCCTGGGCTACCAAGTGAGTTCCAGGAAAGGCGCAAAGCTACACAGAGAAACCCTGTCTCGAAAAACCAAAAAAAAAAAAAAAGAAAAGAAAAAGAAATCAGGCACAAGCAGATGACTTTACCAAGCACGTTTGGCACAAAAGAGGCGTCTCTGATCCAGCTTCAGTAGAAGGGGACAATTCGTCACACGTGTTCTTAGCAGGAGGTCAGACTCAGGCCCCACGTGGACATGGAAACTTGGAGGAATGAATATTGTGGAAATCGGGATAGGGAAGTAAAGAGGAGAAAAGATGAAAGAGGTGAGGATGGTGATAGTGAGGAGCAGAAGGGGAGAGGACAGGAATACCGTCTCCAGTCCAGGATTGGTGGTGGCGGACTAACTCTTCCCTTAGATGAGACTTTTGGAGCCTAAAGCCAAGCCAACGCCATTGGAGTCGTAAAGGAAAGAAAGTTGTTTGCAAGAAAAGTCCTTGACAAAATGATTCCCACCTCTTGCTTAGTTAAATAGGTACTTGCTCTCCTGTTGTCTTAGTAGTACTGATGTCAGCTATGTCTCTCTTTTGTCTTAAAGAAGCACGCCTTAAAGTTAAAAATGAGAAGGAGAAGAAAACTATAGCCGAAACAAATTAGGAAGACATAAAACTAATGTAGGATAGATGGCATGATGGTTAATCTTTTGGGTCAGCTTGACTGGATTTTAAATCACCATGCAAACATGCTTCTGGGTAAGTCTATGAGGTTGTTGGAAAAAAAATAAAAGTTTAACTGAGAGAAGACACTCCCTGAATGATGGATGCGCCATCCTAAGAGCTGGAGCTCTGGACTGAAAAGGAGAAGTTGATCTGAGAAGCAGCATTCAACTCATCCATCTTTGTAAGCACCA